GACACAGTGTTTTGATTATGTCCTTGAAAAACCAGAATCTAATTACTATGGCTTTCCAAAACCAATACCTAAGCCTCCCTCCGATTATTTCTTTTCTTCTTAAAATGCAGAAGTGTTCAGAGATCAGTAAATAGAGCAGAAAATATTTCATTTTAAGTAAGAACATTCCATAAAAAATTGCCTTCCATCTATATCATATCATCAAAGAATATAAATACTAAAAACATGACTTTCTGCGCCAACTATGAGAGAGGCAAGGTGGATGAGGTAATATCAAGTTGGCCCAATAAAAGATATTACATCACCCACACCTTGTCTCTTTAATATCCTGGGACTGACACAACTACAACAAAACATGCCCAAACTATGTTATCAGAGAAAGATTAATAGTTTTCTTTCATGTGGTAAATATTTCATAACCTGGAACTTAAGTAGTAAATAGTCCTTTAAAGATTTTTTTCCTAGTCTACAACTAGATGTTAAACAGGGACAGACAACTACAATAGAATGCAAGGTGCCACTGAGAGTAGTTAGAAGCCCGAGGCCAAATTTTTCAATGTGAGTGCCTAAAGTTAGGTTTTTCAAGTCCATATTTAGGCCCATAAATAAGGGGCTTGATTTTCAAAGATGCTGAACACTCATCAGCTCCCACTAAAAGGGGCAGAAGCAGCCAAAGCAGGGACTGCTGCACTGGTGGGAAGTTGTAAAATGGAGTTGAGCAGGGGGGCTGGGAACTATACAGCAGAGAACAACACACACAATATAGAGGCACTAGGACCCAGGCAATGCTTCCCCTCCACCCCACTATGTCATCCTGGGGGGAAACTGCAGAGAGAAACCCGTCAGAGTCTCCCGCTGGTTAGAGCAGAAGCAGGGACCCTCTGCACACTTAGAGCATTTCCTACACTTTTGACTGGACTTTCTCTACCCCAGTGGTTCTCAACCTGTGCCCTGCTTTTGGCCCAATCAGCGCAGAGCTACAGCCCATGTGACATCTTCAGGGCCATAGAGGTAGTATCGGATGCGGCCCACAATGGTAAATAGGTTGAGAACCACTGCTCTACCCTGGGCTGATTGGCTGTTTGCTTCAACCCTTTCCCTCCCTGCCAAGTCTCTTCACCTCAGCTTCACTCCACACCTGCCCCTTTTATCCTCTTCTCCCCTGCCCTGTCCCCCTCATTCCCCTTCCCTTTTCTTTCCATGTTGCTGATCCCCGCTTCACTAAACCCACCTCCCAAAAATGTTTCAATATGAGGTTTAGCATGGTTTCCTTCACTAGTGTTATCTCTTAGAAGGGCTAGTACCCCCAAAACAAGGGCTGAGCAAATAATTTATTTTTCAGTTTGGCCAGCAAACCAAAACTTCAGAAAAAAAATGGGTTCTGAAACTGTGGAAAGGGAGGAGTTACAGCCTTTAGCTTAGTGTTTAGGGCAGTGGTTCTCAAAGCCGGTTCGCCGCTTGTTCAGGGAAAGTCCCTGGCGGGCTGGGCTGGTTTGTTTACCTGCCGCATCTGCAGGTTCGGGCGATTGCGGCTCCCACTGGCCGCAGTTCGCCGCTCCAGGCCAATGGGGGCTGCGGAAAGGGCAGCCAGCACATCCCTCAGCCCGTGCCGCTTCCCGCAGCCCCCATTGGCCTGGAGCGGCAAACCGCGGCCAGTGGGAGCCGCGATCAGCTGAACCTGCGGACGGGGCAGGTAAACAAACCGGATGGCCTGCCAGGGGCTTTCCCTGAACAAGCGGCGGACTGGCTTTGAGAACCACTGGTTTAGGGCACTTGCCTGGGATGTCCATCTTCCCTCTGCCTGATTCAGAGGAGGGATTTGAATCCACATCTGCTACCCTCCCACGTGAGTGTCTGCATCACTAGGCTATAGAGTCATTTTCACTCTCTCTCTCTGGCACAGTGAATATTTATGTACAGTAGAACCTCAGAGTTACTAACACCAGAAAGCAAAAAAGAGTCCTGTGGCACCTTATAGACTAACAGACGTATTGGAGCATAAACTTTCGTGGGTGAATACCCGCTTCGTCAGATGCATGTAACACCAGAGGTACAAACTGACCAGTCAACCACACACCTCATTTGGAACTGGAAGTACACAATCAGGCAGCAGCAAAGACCAAAAAAATAGGCGAATATAGTACAGTACTGTGTTAAACGTAAACTACTAAAAAAAAAATAAAGGGAAAGTTTAAAAAAGATTTGACAAGGGAAGGAAACTGCTTCTGTGCTTGTTTCATCTAAATTAAGATGGTTAAAAGCAGCATTTTTCTTCTGCATAGTGAAGTTTCAAAGCTGTATTAAGTCAATGTTCACTTGTAAACTTTTGAAAGAACCACCATAATGTTTTGTTCAGAGTTACAAACATTCCAGAGTTACAAACAACCTCCATTCCCCAGGTGTTCATAACTCTGAAGTTCTACTGTAATTATACAAAGTGGAGCTGCTTCAACAGGAAAGACTGAGAGCAGGACAAAATAGCCAATAGCCTAGATTAGGGCACTCCCTCGGCAGGGGCCAGACTTGAAGTCCTTGCTCCAATGAATATGTAAGCATTTATACAAAGTGGATTAGCTTCAACAGGAGAGATTGAGATCAGCCTACCCTAGAATAGCCTATAGCCTGGTGGTTAGAGCACCCACCTGGGTTCAAGTCTCTGTTCCAGAATGGGTATTCTAACCTGAGTCCACCATGTTCCATACAAGTGTCCTGCCCACTGGACTAAAGGTGACAAGGGGGAACAAACACACACAGTCTCTTTTCTCAATCTAGACCTGGAAAACTTTTGATCAAACTTGCAAAAAGTTTTGGGTTGAGCAATATAGCATTTTTCAGCAAATACACCAAACAATTTTGCCCAGCTCTAGTGAAAGGTAACATATATTGTAGTTTATAGTAATGGTCCACAGTGGCTGAATAAACCTTGCTACAATGCTAATTAAATCGGGCTTATGTAAGGTTGCAGTCTGTGAATGACATGAAGCTACCTAATGTGTCGTTTTGGCAGCAGTAAGATTAGAAAAGCAAAACTTAAACCAGTTTCCAGCAATAGTTTTACTGGTTCAGAGGCATCCTCAAGAAAGAACTAACACAGCAATCATTAAATCATGTTCCATAGCAGGGGTCGGCAACGTTTGGCACGCGGCTCGCCAGGGTAAGCACCCTGGCGGGCCGGGCCAGTTTTATTTACCTGCTGACGCGGCAGGTTCGGCAGATCGCGGCCCCCACTGGCCGCGGTTCGCCATCCCGGGCCAATGGGGGCGGTGAGAAGCCGCGGCCAGCACATCGCTCGCCCCATTTCCCGCCGCCCCCATTGGCCCGGGACGGCGAACCACGGCCAGTGGGGGTCGCGATCGGCCGAACCTGCCGCGTCAGCAGGTAAATAAAACTGGCCCAGCCCACCAGGGTGCTTACCCTGGCGAGTCGCGTGCCAAACGTTGCCGACCCCTGTTCTATAGTATTTGTAACTGAGCACAGCTATAAAAACAGTTAATGGTATCTAGAATGAACATGCACTGTATGCTGACCTTACTGAAGAAAGTTAGTTGGAGAAGGCCCGTAAGATGCACCAAAAAATCCCTGAGGACAATAAATCCAATAAATCTATTTTAATGCAACACAAAAAAGTGCTGATCACTCTCCAATCTGCTGCGCTCAGAGTAGGTTGTTGTTATTTCAGCAACACGTTTTCACTGTACTATGTTAAGGCACTTAAAGGATAATATTAAATCTTGCACAACAGTCTCCCTTCCATTACATGACTCACAGTTTTAGTCAAGATTATAAAAATCTGACACTTTTTCCTACCTAACAATCAACATCATCCTTCTTCCTTGTAGAACTTCCTGCTGAGGTGGCATTGCTACGGAGTCCAGCACAAAGTCAGGTCATGTTCAGATAAAAATATCTACCTCCCTACACATATCCACTTCAGGCTATTTTTTTCTCCAGACGCACATTCTCATAAACAGTTTTCTGTTTTTCTGATGACAGTTCAGGTATTTTAATGGGAGCCACACACCTAGATGGCTTATTTACCAACTGGCTAAAGAATTTAAATGAAGCAGAATACTAAGATCTGATCTGCCATTCTACGTCAACAAATTAAGTAAACATGCTCAGAACATTGCAAAACATAGTTCTTCAAACAGTCTGTAGGCACAGCTACGCCACCGCCTCAGGTAAAATGAGCTTTGACTTAAAATATCAGTGATCAAATAAACACAGAAAGCAGAAAAAAGATCATGAATAACACTGAGTGAAGGTAACTGCACAATATTGCTCTAAAAGAATATGTTGGCGAGGAAAATACAATGCTATGTGACAATCACCATGTAACAGAGAAGTCACATTTGTAGCATGTGGACAGCTCTCTGTTCACTTTCTGTGACAATCAGGCCAGTGCATTTCACTAAGTCTTTGTCTATACTGAGGAAATTTTAAAATTGCATGAGTTGTAAACTGTTAAAACCAGTGATATCCCCAGTGTAGAGAAAGCTTGGACAGACAGACTCATTTTTACTACCATTTCATTAAGTGCTTTTCAAAAATGGTGGCAAAAATGGATCCCAGAGATCCCATTAATTTTAGTTCCCTTTCAACTGAACCGGTGAGAAAAGGTTTTGAAAATTTCCCCACTGTAAACATGGCCTAAGAAGTATCTGATCAAATCCTGCTGTCTTTCCCTTCGGTATAATTCTCTGTTGTACACACAATGGGTTACTGGATTCATGTTTCATTGGGTTGCCAGCAAAAACATTCTTCTCCCTCCCACCCCATACACAGTGTGTTTTTCTCATGTTGTTTTCTTTTAACGTACTCTTATCAAAGGCATCAGCAAAAAATGCAATGAAAAGAGAATGTGATGTTGTTCTGTTGGATGTTATTCAACATAAATCTAAATGAAGGAAGAGCATGGAGTCAATATTCATTCTATATAAAGCTAGCTAACAAGCTGCAGTGAAAAGAGCTCTTATTGCTTTCAGAAAGAACATATTTACCTTTCAACTTGAGGTCCACATTGTTCCTCAGCCAAGGATAAACTCCATAGTTTGACGAGTCTTCAGGAATGGGATTATTAGATGTCCAGCCATCACAGGCAAACCGATAAAAATTCTCACAGGGATCCACAGACTGGTTTATTTTACTTAAGATGGAGGCCGCTATAAAGTATCACATGGATTTATGGATTATTTTTAGCAAAACAGAAAATTATGCCAGATTATATTCCCAAAATGATAGTTAACATACGTCAGTTATCCAAGCAAGACTTTTCACCCTCATCTGAAGGATAAAGATCATTCCCTGGCTTGCTGTGGTCTTGCTGTTTCCAGAATCTAACTTTGCCCATACATAAACTAAATAACAGCCAAAATATTTGTGCATTCATTGTAATAACTAATTTGGACAAACCTGCCATTGATTGTTATGAGATGATCACTGCAGTCAGATCTACAAAAAAACTGAATTTATAGAACCTGAATAGAAATGGAATCTCCATCTTGCAAGGATAGAGTGAAGTCTATCTAGGCATTTAATATCAGAGCATGTCAAACAGGCTGTAATTAGCACACCCCAAAATTATACATTCTTTACCTGCAGCAGCATAGCACTAAAGGAAAATGTGTAAAATTCTTTATTACCTTTGAAGAGAGGAAAGAAAATACCTCCTGTTTAATCTTTATGACTGAATGCCCACTGATTATTATTAGAGATCAGACTCTTCTGATAAAGACATCAAGTCTAATAGTCAGTGGCTTTTAGAAAGTTTTTTTGAGCCATATAGCCAAACAATCCCTCTCCTGGTTATCAGTAAAAATCAAATTCCATAATAAATGATTATGGCATAAATATGCATGTGATAGCTAGATTATCTGATTTGGATGGCATGCATGGAATAGGATACCGAGCAGTTTTCTTGTCCCCACTTCACTATCAATCAGAATAGATTTGAAATCTAAAAAACACTGCTTCTCTCAGGCACAGAAGAAGCCACTTGCACCTATGATGGATATAACTCAAAAGATTCAGAGGTTCAGCTCAGTTTGGCTAAACATCCATACATTTTGAAGTTTATCCAAATAATTTTGCTCTGAAAGTTGGACCAGAAGCCTGATAAGATTCACAGGCTTTTTGTGGTAATAGTTCCAGTACCTGCTAGTTTTACTTAGGTTGGAATTGCCATTACAATAACTTTGTCAGTGTGGAATTTTTAAATGTTCATTGGATAACTACAAAGAGAGAAAGTTCGGGATTGGTTTGGTTGGAGTTTTGATGAAGGTTGGTTTGGTTCTTATTAAATCAGAACTGTCCCTATTTGCACCCTAAATAACATTACACTGTTTCTTCCTTCAAAGCGTCCAGCAAGCACACACAGGTTTGTAAAGAAATCAATAAAGCATACTCTAGGTTAGTCCAAAGATAGTCTTTGTCCTTTATAACACATGCAACCACCTCCTTTAACCTTCCCATACATTCAGCACTCCTCTGCACTCTACTTGTGATGTCTCAAATATTAGAGACAAAGTTGAACTAAAACTGAAACTCTGAACTCCCTTGAAAGTGAAGAGCCTAATCCATATCTGTACTGTATAGCTTGGGCCCATCTTTACTACATACACCTCTACCCCGATGTAATGCTGTCCTCGGGAGCCAAAAAAATCTTACCACGTTATAGGTGAAACTGTGTTATATCGAATTTGCTTTGATCCGCCGGAGTGCGCAGCCCCCCCCTCCCCCCCGGAGCGCTGCTTTACCGCGTTATATCCAAATTCATGTTATATCGGGTCACGTTATATCGGGGTAGAGGTGTATAGTGCTTACTGGATGCTTTGCCCTTAGGCAATTATTGTACAGCTTTTGAATAGTTGTAAGACAAGCTGTGACCTAGACCTCAAGAATACACTGAAGGGATTCACTACTCATTGCTTTTTGAAGTAAGACTGTTGAGTCAAGTAGCTCTCCAGTTCTGACTCTGGACTCTGTGCAGTGTGCAAATTGTGCAGAATGACAATTTTTGTTGATCCAGCAAAAAAAATTAAGGTCAGTCATTCATTAGCACAACTAACATAAGGTGCTACTATAAGGTGGGTGCATAACTGGCTGGATAACCGTACTCAGAG